TGCCCCAGGTTTGCCTCATGGTCCTTGCTTTGCAAACTGCAGCCTGTCAGAATATGCTGCTGGCTCTGTGTTACAGACACACTCTGGCCTGCATTTGATCTAACTGTGGCTTTGAGGGCTGGGAAAGGACGGACTCTGTTAGCATGGCTGCACTAGACACCATTGCTTCTGCTGCTTTCTCCACCTCGATGAGTCTCTGAGAACAAGGATCAGAAGGCACTCACTATACATCCTGGGAATCCCTGAGTGTTGCTTCAGATGATCGGATGAAGACACAGCCATTGTGCAAAATGAGGTGTCTTGGAAGATGGATTATAAGCCTGTAAAAAGCTTGTTGCTTCCAACTAAGGCTAAACCTAGCTCTTAGACAGCTGGCCTATCCATATGATTGCTATTTGGTTAATGTGGCATTCAGCACATCAGTTAAGGACAAACCAAAATTTCATTTGGTTTTATTTTTTTGTTTGTTTTTTGAGTTGGAGTCTCACGCCATCACTCAGGCTGAAGAGCAGTGGCCCGCTCACAGCCACCCCAGCATCAACCCACTGGGCTCCGGCAATCCTTCTGCCTCAGCCTTCCAAGTAGCCAGAACTACAGGCACGTGTTATCATGCCCAGCTAGTTATTTTATTTATTGTAGAGACGAAGTCTCACCAAATTGCCCAGGCTGGTCTTAAAACCCCGGGCTCAGGCAATCTTCTTACCTCGGCCTCCCAAAATGCTGGGATTACAGGCTTGAGCCACTGTGCCTAGCCTTCCATTTTATTTTACATAAATTAATTAAGCAGTCTGGACTGTACAAAATTGCTGTTCAGTTGATTGGTTTTTGAAAGGAAGACTCTACAAGGTAAGTGCAGCCCCCCCAAACTGTGGCTGTTCTGTTAGGAACAAACTAAACTTTATTTTCTTTGACTAAGAAAGGAGGACAACAATGAAACTTTTTCTTTCTTTCTTTTTGAAAAAAGCCACATCTTTCAGTCACCATTTATAACATTCATTGTTTATCCCAATTTGTCAAAATGCTTGCTCAACTGCTTTCTTTCTGGGCTTGTGTATCAAATGAAAACTTTCTCTACCATCTATGAATAAAGCCTCTTGGTTGACTTCCAGGATGCCCTCATCATGTAAATTCCCATGCTATCTAACTTTTGAACCAATTTTGACTGAATTCTGTATGAACTAAATAGAAATGTGTTGAAAATAAAGCACGTTTTCATGCTAAAGCTGTGTCCCAAGAAAACACTTTTGTAGTGAATTTCTCATTCAGCCTGCTGCTTCCATGTCCCCAGAAAGGATAGTCCCCGTAAACTCTACATCGAAGGGCCATTTCTTACAAAGGCAAAGGCAGTTGCTTCACAAAGCATAATAATGCAGTCTGTGTCTTATTGATCCAGCCGGGATATGGGGTTTAAAATCAGAACCGGAGAGGAGTTCAGGCCCTCTGCCTGTCAGAGCCTCTGTCCCCATGCCTGCACTCCTTCGGTTGTCCACCCCTGTCCCGCCCGAGTCGACGAAGCCTCCCACCCCAGCCACGGTCGGCAGTCCCGAGTCTTGCTCCCGCAGCTGGCTCTCTTCGCTGTCCTTCCAGCGCCACGTCCTGGCATTCTCCTGCCTCGCCCCGGGTTTTGAAGGTGACTTTTGGAGTCAACGATGATGGACTGATACTGCGGCTTCTGTTTCAGTGGGATCTTTGAGTTCATTTTTTTAGCATTTTATGTGCCAGAAATGACATTGTATTATCTAGTTTAAAGCTAAAAATGTTGAAATGCACCACTGGTACAGGCTGATTTTTTTTTTTAATGACTTTCTTTTCTTTTCTTTGAATTGGGGTCTCACTGTCACTCAAGCTAGAGTTCAGTGGCATGATCACGGCTCACCACTGCCTCCCAAGTAGCTGGGACTACAGGCCACCATACCCAGCTAATTTTTTAATGTTTTGTAGAGGTGAGGTCTCACAATGTTGCCCCAGTTGGTCTTGAACTCCTGTGATCCTCCTACCTCAGCCTCCCAAAGTGCTGGGATTACAGGCGCGAGCCACCATGCCCAGCTTTGATGTTTATTTATATCCCTAAAATAGGAAAAAAAAACATTATTTTTTGTCCCATGTTTTCCCCTTTAGTCTGAAACTTTCCCATAATTAAATTTATATATTCATTATAAACAAAAACAAATTGCAAATAATACTTAGTAAATGTCTGTACTGTGCCAGGCTCAGTGCTTGACACTGGTCAAAGAAGACACAACCCAGCATCAATAAACTGTTTGAAATAGATAATTTCTTATTCTATCAGAGTAGTAGTAAATATATCAGCATTGCAATCATAAGTGCTATTAGATATAATAAAAACAAGAACAATCATAACAACAGTGGAGTTAATGTGAGCTGTTTGCTGCAAGACAGGAACTATGGTAAGTGCTCTGCATGCCGCCTCTCATTTCATCTTTATAAATACCCTTCCTAGTAGGGGCACTCTGCTGACACATACACCTGGAAAGGTTAAGAAACTTGTCCAGAATTAGAACTAGAGGGTAGTGGGGCTAGGGTGTGAAGCCAGTTTGGTGGTGAGAATGCAGTGATGACCCAGAGCTACCATGCTGAATCTCTCTACCTCCATCTGCTGTGGTAGCGGTGGGTTCACACCTAGGACCATGCAAGGCTCTTCAGTTGAAGCTGGAGACACATCAGCAGCGCTTGGAAAGTGAAATGAATTAGCAAGCACTTGAAATGGTGGCAATGTAGGAACAAACCCAGTTAACCCACCAAAGTGTCAGGTAAAGGGTAAAGCTTTTGAATGTAGAAGTTCAGGAAGCAAGCTGGGATGTAAATAGGTTTTCTAAGACCATAAATGCTAGAATGCGGGCCCTGGAGGACACCCCCCGCTCCAGACTGGGTTGTCCAAAAGCAACAAGGAGACTCCGAGATCAGTAGAGTGAAGCAGCTTTTTAAAATAACACTCTTGCAAGCACTCTGGGTGTCCCTCAGATGAGCAGGCACACCGAAGCAGTTTCAGCCAGAGTATTTAGGCCCTAAAATGCAAGTTTCCTCCCCTGTTTCCCCATAGGCTGGGTACTTTCAGAGGTTATATCATGTTCCAGGATGTCACCTACATGTTATATGTAGATTGGTGTACACGATTAGTTTATTTGCACGTCCTATTTATTAGTTGGTTAGCATAGGTGTGACACACTTTATTTGAATGTCCTATTTGCTGATTGGCTTACAAGATTTTGTTTTAATTGGTTTCCATCGGAGTTTATATGAAAAAACCCACCAAGGTAAAAGCCCACAAAAAGAGAACAAGAAGCCGGAAGTGACTCAGCAAAAAGCAGTTACGTATAGCCTGTGTCTTCCTGTGAAAACAAATCATTCTTTTTCTGACACTATGCAACCGTACTGAGTTAGTGGTCTTTTCCTACCATTTTATTTTACAAGTTCATAAAAGAACAAGGCATATTTATTTTCATGGGTAAAAAGGATTAAGTATGTCAAGTTAATTAAATGAAGGTGTTACAAGCTGAGTCTAGAATACAGACCCATCAGAGGTGGTGTTATCACACGGTTTCAAGGTAAAAAATAAAAGAATTCAAGGACAGGGTGAGGCATGCTCTAGAAAAAAAATCAGGAAATCTTTAGTCTTAGCACAAAGGAAGGAAGGAAGGAAGGAAGGAACTCTGTAGCAGGAACTTTTAGCCACAGGGATACCCTTTTTCTGAGCTGCCGTCAAGACTACCTTTGCTATGATTGAACTACCAATTATAATTATACCCATCTGTTAGCTTTCACGATAGCCTTATAACTCTCTTTGTAGAATCTCTGTGTCATTTTCCTGTTCTCCTTCCAGCTTCCAGTTAGTTTTTGTCTTTTTACCAGTTATTTGTTCTTTCAGAGTATGAGCACAAAAAATAAAATAAGAGATAAAACTGATTCTTTTTTTCCCACGGATGCAGGATATGGCCAAGACTGGGATCATAGCTACTGACCAAAGCGAGATGTGTCACGCCATAAATGCACTGTATTGTTTCTGTCTGTCTGTACCTCTGTTTCTCCACTGGGACAATTAAGTCCTTGGCAAGAGGAACAACCAAGTTTTCTCCTTCACTTTCCTCTGCACATAGTTCAGTGTCTGATATAGAGAAAGCATGCAAGGAACCATCCATCGAATGAAGGACTACATGGGTGGGGCAATAGGAACGACAGCCCTCCTACTGTTACTTTACTCCCCACTAAAGCAGCTGCCTCCAGTTGCTGCTCAAAAGGGTCTAGAAGTCGTGATGTTCCAAAACCGTATGCACATTCTGGGCTCTTGTTTCAACCAATGTTTTCTCCCCTTTCCCCCTCAAACTCTTTGAATTGGCGGGCTAGCAGATTAGTAAACAGAATGCTGCGTATACAGCCCTTTATAAATCAGCAGGGCAGGAGTGGAATGTTATGTTATTTCTTTCTGTCCAAGGATAATCTAATCTTGCAAAGATAGTTACCAAAGTCAATAACATTTTCTACTTGGAAGACAAAAAGTGTCTGAATTGGATTAAGGTGAAACAAGAGTGGCCTGATGCAGCTGTCAGTGAGGAACTTGTTTGGTATGGCTTCGTTAGCCTTAAATGGATATCTGTATTTCTTCTGTGTTCAGTGAAGCCACAACCAACCAGCTCTTCAGTCAGTGATATTGAAGAGCTTTTACTTTTAGCTTGTTGCATTTTCATTTGTGTGTATCTAGTCTTCCCACCATGGCAGGTCCTCAGACTGGCATTTTAGAGATAATCAGCTGTGTTATTAGCGGAGTTGCTGCCACAGGGCCCAGGAAAAAGATAAGGGGAATCCATAAGACCAAGCTGGGTTAGGGAGAGAAGATTCGCCTTCCGCCGAGGTGCCAGCCGACTCATCAAGCTGCCTGTTCCCCAAGGAGGCAGCGCCCCGCTGGCCCCGCTGGCCTCTCTGTCCTGTGAGCGCGGGCTGGTTCTGCGCCGGCTGCCAAGTGACTGTGTTGTTGTGTTGCTTAGTTTTCAGGCCTTTACCTACTGTCCTTCTTCACCATCCTCATCGGGCTGGTGCTCTACTCTTCCACGTCCACCTACGTCGCCCAGGACCCCCGTGTGTACAAGCAGTTCCGCAACCCCTCAGGACCTGCCGTGGACTTGCCAGCTGCCGCGCAGGTGGAGCCGTCGGTCACCTACACCAGCCTGGGCCAGGAGACCGAGGAGGAGCCCCACGTCCGCGTGGCCTAGGGCGAGGCCCGCCTGCCTGCAGGGCCGGCACCAGGCCAGGCGTTTGCTAGTCATTGCTGTTGTGTGTGTAGAGAAAGGTATTTACTGGGTGCAGTCTGCACAGGTGGACTGCAAGGTAGCAGACCTTCCGGAGCCGGTCAAGGGAGCCAGCCGCACACACCGGGAGACACAGGCTCCAACCACCTGACTTGGGGAGATGCTAGCTAGTGTGCATCCTGACCACAACCCCGTGCGTTCATTACTGTGAAGATTTTTGAATCAAAAGCGAGTACTGCCGTTGTCGTTGTTTGAATCATGATGGTTACTGTTATCACACTGACCGTCAGGCGGATGTTTTGTTCTCCTGGTGGGCACTATTGCCAGGCCCACATGTAGTCCATGTAAGTCCTACTTTTCTATGGCAAGTCCCTTTTTGAGAGTCATTCTTTATCTTTTGCACAGACTGCATGGGTGACGCACGCCCCTGGAGCCCACCCCGAGACGGCTTCATATCCTAGGGACCTGGTGGCTGAGGTTTTCCTCCGTTCCCGGTTGGACTGCCTGCACAGACATGTTTTGTGCCATGACCCTTGTCGGGAGGGGCAACTGACCACACGATTCTCTATTCTAGGAATAGATATGAAACACACCTTTCAGCCTTTTTATAGTCCAACCTCTGCTGGCTCCAGGCCATTGCCTTTCTGCTGTGCCACATGGGCCTGCTGACCAAGTCCCTGAAATGACAGGATGAGGACTGATCCACGTCTGTGGCTCACGGGCAGCCCCAGAAGCAGTCTCACTTGTCTTCAGGGCAAGGCGTCGTTTTAAAGTCTTCCACCCCTCCCTATATCCTCTCTTCAAAAACTATTCTCATTTTTCCCCTAGATATCCTTAGTGATAACATGGAAATTAGTCAAGGCACTGGAAAAAACCGTGGTCCTCCTCTGCCCTCTTAATCGTGTGACACCCTTTACAAAATATCCCAGCATGGAAATTACCCTTATTGTGGAGTGTCATCGGCCGTGCCACCTCCTAGCAAAGTCAAGGTGCCTTTGTGGAGCAGTCTTGGAAAACAGCTCGATTGGCCTGGCTCCCGTGTAAGGTAAAATGTCATCACTGAAGAGTCTGGCATTTTGGTCGTATTGGACATCCATTCAATAGTAGAATGTATTGATACAACATTTATATGGATACAGAGAAAATTACAGGATCCCGATAAGGTGTGGAGTGAGGGATATGTCACTAGTTTAATCTGTTGCCCTTAAAACAGCCCTTTTTTCAAAAACAGGAAATTAAGAAACACCAGAGCCCTCCATCATTTAGAATAGAGCCTGTGTGTCAGTATGTGAAGTACTCGTTAAATCTGGCAGACTTAAAACTGTTCAGAAAGATTCTCGATGGAGTTACAGGGTTTGTAAAGGAAAAATACATGTTTATGAAATGCTGGACAGTTCAAGCCAGTATCTCTTACGCGAGCAAGCAAAGCAAAACACCAGGGGGTCTCTCGAAAGTAGCAGGACAGAGTGCAGTGTCATCTGGACTCCCAGAGTGCCTGAACAAGGCCTAAACCTGGCAGGCCAAAGCATCCACTTTGCCTTTGTGCCTGCCCTCTGCAGTGGGTGGGTGGTCCTGCTCTCAGAGATGGGCAAGAAAAATTATCTTCTCCGTCATTCAGATTTGACGGTCAGCTCAGTTCAGCCCCCTTAGAAGCGTGTTTCATTTTCTGGGGGGCGAGGGGTTGGCGGGGTGGGGAAATCAGTATTAAAGTTCTATCATATCAAAACAACTTTGCCGACATCTGCTCTCTGCTACCTTTTAGACCAATTAAATACCTTTCTCTGACTATTTTGTCCATTCAGATCCGAAGACCTTTAATGACTGTGGTTTTATTTTTGTGTTTACATTCCTTTGGTTTGCATACTCTGCTTGACTTATTGCATTTTTAGTATTTATTTTAAGCAAAATGTTTTTGTCTTTTTGATTTTTTTTATAACAATTTGTAGACACTTAGTAAAGTCTTATGAGAAACAAGTTGATGAAATTATTTCCAAGTTCACTCAATAGACTAGAAATTTTTTTTTTTTTAAGTTGGATTCTCACTCCTTCACCCAGGCTGGAGTGAAGTGGCACGCTCACCGCCACCCCAGCATCAACCCGCTGGGCTCCGGCAGCCTTCCAAGTAGCCGGAACCACAGGCAGGAGCTACCATGCCCGGCTAATTTTTGATTTATTGTGGGGACAGTAAATCGCCAAGTTGCCCGGGCTGGTCTTGAACCCATGGGCTCAGGCAATCCACTCACCTCGGCCTCCCAAAGTGCTGGGATGACAGGCTGAGCCACCGAGCCTGACCAGGAATTTTTTTAAAATTTAAATTTCCAAAAGGTTTGCAACCAACAGATGGCTAAAGGTTGCCATCTGAATTATTTTATAGGATATTTTAATTGGCTCCATTGTATGGAAACCAAGTGTGAATACTGAGATTAATTCACTGTATACCCTTTATCATTTAGTGTCCTAATACTCAGACTTCCATGTAACTGGGTGACCTAAGTGTGCTGGTTTGTCTGTTTAGAAAGGTTGATAATATATTGAATTGTTCAAGATCAGGAGTTCCATGCTGACCCTTCAGGAAGAAAAAAAAGCAGCAAAGAACAAATTCTCTTTCTGTGTAAAATTATTGATCCTTTGGGAATGGGGAGGGAAATGGGAGTAGGATGACATTAACTCTAGCGTTTTCGTTTCTGAGATCTCATAACCTCAGTAGACACCAGCAGAAATTTCAGCTTTTCAATCCACCACCAACCTCTCCTCAAAAACATGAGACTTCAGCAATTTGTGTAGAAGTTGATTGGGTAAGAGCAAGCCATGATTCTCCTAAACCCCACTAGAGATAAGGGGTGGTTCTCACTTCCTCGATGAAAACGTGCCCTGGGGACAGAGCTTGCCTTGGTCAGACCTTCCCACAGCTTCAAACTCAAATACCCAACCAGGTAGACCAAGCAATGGAAGACTTTACACCACTGTGTCCCATGAAAAATGTTTCAGTGTTTAGTTTAGATATTGCTAACTTGTGCTATTAACCTTTTGATGAGCGTGTACTATTGTTTGTTTGGGGTTTTTGATTTATAACCATTTAGAAGTCCCCAGCTAGCTACCAGTACAGATTTTACCCCATGGGTAGGAGTCTATCGTTAAACCACATAACAAAGCACACTAATCCTGACACTGCAAGTGAAAAATACGAACCAAAAAGTAAATTTACACCAAGTTGAACAAACTCTCCATTTTTGATATTTGCATGCGCGCCCATGGACTGGCTGTGGCAATGTAATGCCTGCATAATGTTTTCGAATAAAAATAAATGCTTCATGAAAGCACCAAGTTCTTGGTCTTCCTGTGTGTTTGTCTGCACCAAGACAACCATGGCTAGGAATAGCAACAAATGTCGGTCGCTGAGTGCATGTCAAAAATAAAGGCCGGAAAGAAAATATTTCCAAACTAAGAAGGGCACGGTTGGCCTCAGAACTATAGTTTCTAAACACAAAACCAAACACGTTTGTAATTTGCAAAGTCAACTGCTTATCTGGGTATGTACGAAGACTCTGGGTCTGCAACCTCCAAGCCTATGCTTGAAACACATGTGGGACAACATAAATCACCCCCAAGAAACAGTTTCTTGTAAGGAAGAAAGCCCTGGCACAGACTGAGAGAACAGTCTTCAGAGTACACATGCATAGGGCAAGGCCTGCTCAGATTTCCGCTCAGAACTCACACGGGGTCTCGCGATCGCCCCTCCTCCCAAACCGCTGTCACCTTGCAAACTCAAGAGTGCCTGTGGCAGACCGTAAATACGTCTGCATGTTCTTGTCACATCCAGACCTCAGAACCAAAGACGTGTCTGTGTTGTATACTGAGACCAGTTTGGGAGCACTGCCTGCTCAACTTGGTGTGGCCGTGTGCTCTTTGCGCTTTGGCGGTCACCATGCTTCCTGGCTTTGGCCCTCCCACACCTCAGGGAGGTGAGTCTTCTCTCTCCCTCTCTCTCTAATTTGCTTTTACATACACTGTGTTTTCTCATCTAAAAAAAGAAACCGTTTTTAAAGAAAAACATCCATTTTTCAGAAAACAAGAAGTGGCAACACACTAAGTGCTTTATAAAGTGCTCTTACTTTGGGATCCATCATGGTCTGCTTTTATAAATAGTTAGAACAGCATGTGCTTCACATAAATAATTTGCTTGAAAAATATGACTCACCGTTTTACAAAGTTTTTCCCTGGAAAATGTAAATCTTTCTCTAAGATATTGTTTACTTTTATTTAATAAGCTCTCTGATCAAAGAGGAAATAAAGTTGAACTTCAGGAATTTCAGTTGTTAGGGTCCAAATAGAATACACAATAAGTGTATGTCATGTTTCATCTGTTTCCCCAATGAATTAAAGTTTTCTGAAGAGAAAGAACTGGCTTTTCTAAGTACTTGAAAGTTCTTCGATGATAAGATAGGAAACACTTGAGAGATTTTTGGGACTGTGAGCATGAGAGAAAAATAGAAACAAGCACAATTCAGCAGGAGGGCGATAATTTATTATATCATTTTGATGTTCCACAGGAAAACAAATTATAATGTCTGAAGTAACAGGAGCTGAATTTAGATCCAGCTTATCTATTTTCAGTGCCCAGCAAAATTTTGCACATGGAAGGCACTCGTACATCTTGTTTTAATGTAATCTAACTTCTAAACCATAAACACAAAGTACAGGGATAAGATATTCTATTACAAAATGTTCCCTTTTTCCTGCCATTACTCCTGAGTACTGTTTTCTGTAAAATTCCTGTTCTTGAAAAGAAAGAAATCACCATGTCCACTTAAATGCGCTCTTTGGGAGAATTTTTTACATGATATTTGGCCCTTCAGGCTCAGGCCTGGGGTATGAAAGAACAAAGCAAAACAATTTTTTAAAATCTGCAAATAGTGTTTTAAATTTATAACATTGCATTCTAATGATGTATACTGTCTTTTTTCCCTTTCTTTTTTCTTTTTTTTTCTTTCTGTCGTTCTGCAAGCACAAACAGAGGGCTCACCACAGGCCACTTAGGCTGGGTCTCTCTCCTTTATTCTCTATGTGGTCAAAAATGTCTAATTTAAAACAATTATAATACAGCTGGAAAGTCCTGCCCCTACCAGATGGCCTTTCATCAGTGCCTGAAAGGACAAGCCGTTGTGTACCACTTTTCAGACAGACAAGTCACCTCCAAACACTGCTGCAGCCTGACTCACAAGGAAAGCTAACAATCTCACAAGGAGGAGGTCTGGGAATAGGCTCTCCAATTAGGGCTTCCATCTGGATGGACAAAGGCTGGTGTGATAAGGCTAAAATCAACAAAAGCATGAGACAGCTTGTTCACCAAGCCTCAGCATCAGAGCTGGGACGGATCCTATCCTGCCCGAAGGATAATTTCAAGACAGACAGAGGTAAATATTGTTTTACACAATGGAGAATAATCTTCCTGAACTCACCGCCCCAAACCGATGATGCAGGCTAAAAGTGCAAATGTTGGTCACCAAAGAAATGGTTGAGTCGCAAGAGGGCATGAAGTAGGCCGAGCACATAGCTCACGATCCAGTTATGAACACTCTCCAGAGTGAAAGCAAGCACTCCATGATTATACGGGACAAAGGTGTCAGCCCGGGCCACCCCAGATGAACCCAGATTTCAGAGGGACACTGGTCCATCCCACTCCCAGAAGGTCGGCAGCAAGGTGCCTGGCCATGTCTTCCTGCCACTGTCTGAGGCAAACCAGCGAGGTGGAGCAGACCGCCTGCCTGTGAAGGTGAGGCTGTGCATGGATTTTCACTGCTGAAGAGCAGCACTGGCCTCAGCTCTGTCTCTGGCTCTTCAGCCTTCCTTCCTGGAGTCATGTGTGGCTGAGGCTGGCAGAGAAGCGAGAAGCGTTCCAACAAGGATGTCTCAAACATCTTCCCTGTTTCGTTGCTAGTTGCTAAATGTGTCAAAAACAAAAGCAAAATGATACAAAAAGCGAAGGAAACATGTGAGCCTAAAGGAGGTAGCACTACTGGAAGCATTCCGAAGAAAACGGCAGTAGACGCCGACACACGCCGACACACTCACACATCACAAGAAATGCCGAATGACCGACACATGCATGCGTAGATGAATGCAAATTCCTCATGGGAGGGAGGAGTCTGTTCCTAGGCACTGAAGAGTAGATGGCTTGTGGCCATGGGGCAAAACCATTCTTCACTCAACGTGTTCCCAACAGGGTCCACAAAGTCCAATTTCTGTGTATTGTCTTTGGGCGAATAGGTTGAAACACAGGCAATAGTACCATTTTTGTGCAAAACTGGGTCTCATTCATGCCTTTCTTGCCCTTGTCTTTGTAGGCAGGGAGAATTACATCCACAGCACCCGAAGAGGTTTGATAGATTTTAAGTAATAGTAATAATTGCAGTTTCACAGATGGTTGGCCACTTGCCAATCTCACAGCAAACTAGTACAGCAATAAAAAAAAACCTCCTTGCTCTCAAAATGACTACTGTTCCAAATGAAATTACTAAAGAGAGAGGAAATGAGCTAATCACTGGAATAATCAAAACAGTCTCATTATGGGACTCCCTGTGAGCTTTTGTTTGAATTCTCTAATGTCGTTTTTGGCATTAAATAGGATTTTAAAAGCTAAATAGGTCACACTTGCATACAAATGGCTGAGTGAATCACATCACAGCTTTATGTTTCCCAAGATTCTGCTTATCAGGCTGTGTTTTAATTAAAAGGAAAATTGTCAGGAATAGAGGATAACTTACTGCGGGGATTTGGTGTCCACAGCTGAAGGCGGAGACTTCACTTAGCATCCAGTTTTCAGTTCGCAATCAGGACTTCCAAACAGCAGTGAAGTGCATTTGCATTTTAGTTGCAAGCTTGGGCACAGAGTGGAGGGCTGGAGGGAGGAGACACTGGAGATCCTGTCACGGAAAACTCCAAGGCGATCATTTCATGGCGTGTATGTGTGCAGGCGGTTTCGTGAAGAGGAGAGATGTTCAGCCCTGGAAAGGGATAGCCTTAGTCATCACTGGCAAAATTCTGTGGCTAACACACCGGTGTGTGACTTCTCAGAGAGGCTAGATCGCTAGAAAAAGGGTCAGAGAGCTGAACACAGCTCCTTCCCTCTCAGGGGGCCAAGGCAGCTTCCTAGGCACTTGAACAAGTGGTCCTTCGGGGGATCTCTATTACCAACCAAGGCGTCCCCAAGAGCAAAGAAAGAAAAAGCACACAGTACATGTTCCAGGTAAATGGCCTTGGTCCTTCTGAAACGAATACTTCTGTGCAAATCTGCAGGAGGGATTTGTCCCTCTGCTGTTCCCCCAACCCACACACGCAAGCAGCGTCTGTGGGACGGGCCCCGCCCGTGAGACTCCCCAAACCAGACGCAGCAACCGCTGAAGCCAGGACTGAGAGCCCCCAGCTTCCACGGGGAGACTTCTCGGCTCCATTCATGCACTAGCGGTCACTGACCAAGTTCTCCAGTGATCTGTGCAGAGTCGGCATCACTTGCCAGGCTGCGGCCCTGGGAAGACAATTCGCTGCCACTGAATGAAGGTCAGACTTGCCTCCAGGGTGAAGGCACGTCTATTTCCTCTTGAGCATTGAAGCCTCACGAACCCTGTGCTGTGAGGATGCGGGGAAATCAAATCATCCCGCGGGAGGTCAAAGTCATCGGCACACTGAAGTTGTGAAACCAAAGCTGCCCCCGCCTGCCCCAAGAAGTGCGTGTTGCTGCTCACACAGGCATGAGGGCCACGCTGGCATCCTCTAACGAGAGGCACTGAGGGGCCACCACCTCCTGCACCTGGGTTGGTGGGGGGGGTGTTGACGGAAACGCCCTTCTACCATTTCTCCTGTGGTCGTTTTGAATGGCTAGCCTCACACTGTAATATCTTCTCCTTACCTTGACTCTTGACAGTGCACAGAAATCGACTTTTATGCACTGGTGCAATTTTCATCGTTTCCATTATCAGGATGAAGTAGCATGCCTTCTTCTAGCTGCAGCGCAACTCTCATCTGTTTCCAGTGGACTGCCGTCGCACCTGCTTCTTGGCGCCTCCATATTATCTCTGTCTGTTCCTCCCGAAGTGATGAACCCACTTCAAGGCAGCCGTCCACGGCTGCTGTCATCCTCTCAGCTTGGCCTTTCCACTGGCTCATCCTTGATGACAGCTTCTCTGAGCATTTCAGGAAAAGAGTTTTCTTGACTTTAGAACTTCAGTGTAACTATACGTGATCTTTTGTCTTTAAAGTCCTTGAAGAAAAGGAGAAAACTCTACTGGGCAAGGATATATCTGAGATACTGTCTCTAGGTTTCATGCACATTTGTTTTAAAACATGGCACAGAATTAAGCTTCTTTAACATCACACTGCATATTCATTAGATGAAAACACTCTGGCTCCAAAGCAACGACAATTTCAAAATTCATGGCTTTAAAAAATTAAAAGTTACGGTTATTTCCAATGTCCTTACCTGTCAGCACTACACGATTCCCGTATTAGCAAAACACTGTGAAAAATTTTACTGCTGGTGGAGTTGGCTCTGCCATCTGTCCCGAAGAATTAACCTTATTTCCTTCAATGAGATCATTTGCTACTTTATCTTCCTCTTGTATTTTTACTTCTAAAACATTCTTGAGGGGGAAATTATGATCAGGTGGAACAATGTAAAGACAAAAATATACAGCAGATAATTCAGACTTGCATGCTATCTTGATCACAATGAACTGAAAGTCCTTTCTCTCATATGCTCTACTCCTTAGAAGAACAAAGTAACAAAAACATTACTGTTGGAAATGAAAATCTGAAAAATAAGACAAGGTTAAGCTTTCAATCAGTCTAAATGGGAGTCTTGGCTAAAGTCAGATATTTTGTACCAACCGAGGTTCTGTCCATAGCTGGCCCACTTGCAGGAAACGGACAGGTGTAGACAGTTCCTGACAGACGAAGTCCAGCTCCCCTGTTCAGCCATGTGGCAAAACAAGTGTCGGCAAAGCCACGTGCCCCCACGGAGGCAAAGGAGAGATGCTGGGAAGAGTCCAAGCCAACTGAGACAACCCGGGACGCCTTGCACTAGCCCACGGTGACTCCTGATAACACTCCTACGTGGACTCACCCTGCGGGAATCCACAGCCTACCTCTAGTGGGGGCCTGAGACCCTCGTTCAGCCGCTGGCTTCCAGAGGAGCTCCTGTTTGCGCTGCGAGCACTGGACGAAGATTTTTTCCCGTGGAAGGAAATTCAAAGAGCCTTCCACCCCACTCCTCTGAAGCCTGCTCCAGGAGCAAGCCCCACCTTTACCTTGGAGGACCGCGTTCCTCCTGGCGGCGTGGCCGGCGCACGACCCAGCTGTCAGGCGCCCCGAAGCCTCAGCGCAGGGCTCCAGGATTCCTCTAGGAGCGCAGCCCGACCCACAAGACCAAGGGCGCTGATGCCGCCCGCGGCCCGGGCTGCGGAA